TTATTAGGGAGGCTGCAGGGGGTGCAGCCCCCTGCATTAAACAATATTGTGACTAAATCGGTACCGATTACACAGCAGAAAATGAGAATTCCATAGTGCAAATGCATGATATCAAGGGTGACGCAACTCTGGTATGGAAAAGACAATCTAGCCATTTCCGATGGAAACGAACACCAGAATCAACCGAACCAAAACAACAGAAATCGTCCCGGAAAGCGTTAGTGACGTCTATTTCCAAATGTACCGAAAAATTAAGAATCCACGCATTCATGGTAGGAGAGAACCTAAGACAGCCATGGGGGAGTGGCATTGCCAAGTCTGTCCGACGCTCTTTCCTGTTGTGAATACAAGGGTTTCATTGTTTTCTTGGGTGAGGGCCAGCCTGTAGAGTATTTTTCTTGCATGGGGAATATTACATTTTTTCTTGCGCGGACATCATTTTGTCTATATTTGTGGGGACGGATCTGCGGACAGATGATGAAACAAAGTGTGCGGAAAGTTCTAAAGAATTTTATGTGTGGACGATGATTTAAAACAGAACTGTGTGTGCAGAAAGTTACCCGAGAACTACATTTGCTTGGACAGAATTTAACCAAATAATTTTTGTGTGGGGAAAGCATTTCCCGCGCAATGCAAACATGTAGGTTTTATTGTGCAGAAAGCCCTGAACCCTTATTAGCAACAAGTTTAACCCCAATAGCAAGGAGGGCATGAAAGTTACCAGGGAAATTGTGGGATAAAACATGAAGAACATACACAGAATCAGGAAAACAAAGAATCATCCATGTATTGACGGAAGAAACGAGTATCAGCAACACGTGGTAACACCACTCGTGCATGGTGGTAGTATGTTCTCTCCAGCTGTGCTTGTGTGGAGGATTCTTTGTTATCCTGGGTGAGGGTTGGGGGGTAGCAGTTCCCCATGGGAGCAGGGGGCTGTACCCTCTGCATTGAATGATATAGTGACTGATTCTGTGTAGATTATTCATATTTCAGCCCACAGTTTCCCTGGTAACTTTCATGCCCTCCTCCCCTGCTATTGGGGATAAGAATGTGGGAGTTTATTTTTTTCTGCTCAATAATTTCTATTTATTTGAAAACTAGGGAGTAAGATACCAGTGATACCAAAATCATCCGCATCTGTTATGTGGAACTACCGATGACTGCAACTTTTTGTCCGCTATTAGAATATCATATATAGTTTGCCCTAGCTTAGTGCATCCATACTGTAAAGATTGGCCAAAGATACTCTATGTATTTAGCAGCTTTTGAAAAGACACTATTTTTCTCACAGTTCAGTTGCTTGGGTTCTGTCAAAATTTCTCATTTTATAGGACACTAAGTGATTTCATTTGGTCATTTATCAATAGTATCTATGCATTGTGAAATGACACTGGTTAATTTTGGTTTAATAGAATTATTTTGGTATTATTGGAAATAATACCAAAATAATGGGTCTCTCTCTCTCTCTCTCTCTCTCTCTCTCTCTCTCTCTCTCTCTCTCTCTCTCTCTTCTCTTCTCTCCTCCTCTCCTCTCTCTCTCCTCTCTCTCTCTCTCTCTCTCTCTCTCTCTCTTCTCTCTCTCTATCTCTCTCTCTCTTCTTCTCTCTTCTCTCTTTCTCTCTCTCTCTTTCTCTCTCTCTCTTTCTCTTCTTTTCTCTCTTTCTTTCTTCTCTCTCTCTCTCATTTCTCTTTCTCTCTTTTCTCTCTTCTCTTTCTCTCTCTTCTCTCTCTCTTTTCTCTCTCTCTCTCTCTCTCTCTTCTCTTCCTCTCTCTCTCTCTCCTCTCCTCTCTCTCTCTCTCTCTCTCTCTCTCTAGTCTCATCTCTCGTCCTCTTCTCTCTCTCTCTCTCTCTCTCTCTCTCTCTCTCTCTTCTATCTCTCTCACAGATTATTTTCACATGTCTGTTTGTTTTGTCCTCTTCTTTGATCTTGATTATTCTATTTTATTTGTGGGTCTCATTTCTGCAATTAATTAAACTATGGGTAGTAAAGAAAAAAAATAAATCAGGTCAGCTTCTGTTTTTTTTCTTTTTCTTTTTTTTTGTTTGCTTTTGAGAGGTCAAAACATTTTTCTTTTAGCTGTAGTAGAAAAAGGAAGTCACACCTGTTTTAAGAAGTGCATGTGTGTTTGAATATCAGTTTTGTGAAGTGGTTTCAGGAAATACCTTCAGTTCCATGCGGTCATGAGAGATTTTATGTAACAGATTATTAAACATTAACCATATACACATAGTTCTGTCTGTATAAGAAAGCTTAACTTGGATAGATGGGAAAGTGCACCAGAAGAAAAATTTATTAGGAGTGAGAATAAGTAATGAAAATCTGGAATCTGTGACTAATGGGGACAAAGTATTTCTGACAAACTGCTTGCAATCAATTACTTTTAGTGGATCCTTGTTAATTGTAGCCTCAAGAAGTTAGGTTACCATGCAGGTATATGTATACAGAGAAGGTTAGTGCTTATAGTCTTATAAGAACACCATAAAATGTAATGCATGCATCTTCATAACATGATGTGAAGGACCCATCACGTGGAGTCACAACCAAGGGAGCCATGACATGAACCCCACGTCATCAGGAGTTCAGGTGTTAAAAGTTAAGAATATGACTTTTTTTGGCTGTTTATTCTTGTACTCTTCTAAGGTGCTGATGAAGACTAGGATGTAAGTCTGAATATGTGATGAATCTGTAGTTCATCATGTGACGATAGATAATGTCAACCTTTTACGGGAAGTCACATATTTTGAACTTGTCTTTACTAGTCTGTACTAGTTTCTTTTGCGTGCATTAAGTGTGAAGTATGTCTTTCTCTGCATATATTTCTATTGAATCTAATTTTGCTGTAATAGGACTAAGACCACTAAAACCATCATGCACTTATGATAGGTGATAGAATAATAATAAAAGTGGTGAGAGTTGCAATAATTTATGTGCAATAAAATTGGATGTTTGGGGTAAAGTTTGCTGGGATAGAAAACATACATTGATGTATAAAAAGAAAAAGAAAGGAAAACTGTCAGAGATACTTATATAGTAATTGCCAATTAGTTTTAGGTCTGTAGTAGCCAGGAAAAACTATATAGATCTATCATTACCTATGGAATATAGTACCAAGCTTCTGAAATATAGCCAGCATAGGATTGGTCATGCCTTTTAAAGAAATGTTGTTTTGCTTTTAATAATATTTTTTAGAAATTATCAATCATGAAGCAGAACTGTCAAATCTGAATTAGCACATCATACAAGTTCATTTTGGTAATTAGTGTACAGGTCAAAATCTTCGTTATGAGACTTAAAAACATCACAGTCATTTTACATTGTCCTGCGGGAGTATTGGTGTGATTTCCCATCCTCACCAGAGAGGATGCATATCTTTTAGAAGCTGATAGAGAGTATACCATTGCTTGTATTTATTATAAAGATTTATTGAGATCCAAACATCAAGCTCTTTTTTAGTTTGCATAGATTTTCATGAGAGATATTGTGGTGAGAAAAGCCCAAATTAGGAACGATAGTTGAACAGCCTTTTCAACTCAGTAAAATTAGAATAAATATGTAGACACGTTATGTACATCTGTCTTCAGAAGGATGAAGTGTTGTTGTAGAGAAAATGAGATTTGATGTAGCAGATTATGTGAATAGAAATATGAATATTTTCAGGAAGATGAAGAGCCACTCCCGGAAGATGAGCTGCCAGAACACCTGCGATCTCCCCCCAACATGAAATTCGACCCGAGCAACATCGGAGACCCAGAGCAGTTGCTGAAGATGAGCAAGAAAGGCCGCACCCTCATGATGTTTGTTCAGGTCAAGGATGAACTCACTCCCGAGAAAGCAGAAGACATCACAAAGCTCTGGCAGAGTGCGCTACATAATAACCATATACAGGCAGAGAGGTAAGAAGTTCAGAGAGGATGATGCGGAAGTTTTATTTATTTATGAAAATTGAAAGGAAGAAGGGCATTGATTCAGATGCAGTGAGTTGGGCTGAGTCCCTCCCTGGTGGCTCGCCATAAGGGACCCTTGAAGGTGGAAACGAAGGATGGATGCAGTAATGCACCCGTTGGCATTAGCTCCCTGATGGTGGTGGTGATGATAGAAACTCATTCCGTGAATAATTGATACCTTATGGTTTTCTTTATTCTATACAGAATTAGTATTTGTCCTTTCTTGTACCTTTATAAACCATTTGTGTTTGGCCTCATTTTACATATTGCAGACTGAAAAGATGGCGTACGTGACAATTCTTTTGCTCGCATCTCATGTCTTTTTAAGTTTTATTTTCATTTCTATTTGGTTTCCACTGATACAGATTTAGAATATACCATTTTATTTAGGGCTAATGTTTATGTTAAAATTTACAATGACAATACAATAAGAACAAGTCCTTCAGTCTATTATTATTCTTTTGATATACACTATAAATGAGCAGCATATACAGGTACTCAAAATGGAATTGACATTTTTAATTTTGACATTCACACTTATGCCATGTAGGGAGTACTTCATAGGCACTATATGAAAAGCCTATACATAAACAACCAGTATGATATATCAGATATTTCTGCCTGAGATAATGCTAAGGTAACAATATGTAAGGGATAGCTTACTTTGAAAGGAGTCACAATACATAGGCAGAAGATATACTCTATTTTTGAGGTAGTGAATTGCGGCACTAGTCATGCTTGATGCTCCGTTTGTTTAGCTTTGGAGCACATAGTTTTTTTTAGTTTTTAAGGAACAAGGTTAGGATATTTCTCTTATTTTGGCACATGATACATGCAGTGGGCTAGTGTGTACTTTTTTATGTCTTGAAGTGCAGCCAAATCCTGTGATGTATATTATGTATTAGAGGTATTTGAAAAGGAGAGAGAGAAAATATATGCATGATTAGTATCATACATCCAGGCTCAGCAATTACAGTTAGTGTAAATTGTTAAGCAATATTTGAAGCAGTTTGATCACACTTGAAAGTATAATGTGGTGGTGTAGCATGGAATTTGTCTTCTTTATATTTTGTTTATTGATATGATTATTTCTTGAGGATTTTCAAAATGTTATTACATGAAGGATGAATGTAGTCAGATGCTCATTATGTTGTATAATCTTTGCATATAGTTAGTTGTAGATATTTGCCTTTGACCATTATATATCATGAATTTAGATTGTAAAATAACTACAGAATCAATACCAACCAACCATTTTGAGTGGTTTGGCACAACTTTGAATATGTTTAGGAATTAACCCACATATGATGGATGTCTCACATATGAGACACCCAGAAAAGTAAACATTACCAGGTGTCCCGCCAGTGCGGTGCCAGATCGGAGCTTGTGCTCTGATTTTGTCGCCCGTGGCGGGCAGCGCATGGGTACTTTGCTGGATTCGCCCTTGCGCCGATTTTGAAGCCGCCCGGAAAATATTATTTACCGTCGCTAGTGGGTAAACCCACTCACGCCGGGTACATTTTGTAGCCAAAATAAAAAAATCCAGGCGGCTACAAAAATCGGCGGGTGGAGCTTCGCCGGAGTCTGTCCGCCCGCCGGCTGTGGCCCGCTGCTGAGCTGGAGCGCGACCCCAACACAGCGTCACACTGGCGGGACGCGCGGAGTGTTTATTTTTTTGGGGTGTCTCAGATATGGGACACCCAGCGTGATTGGGTTAAGTAAATGATTGAAGAAAGAAATGCTGGATCATATCAATGGAGTGAAATAAAAGCAGTATTTGTCTAGACTAACATTACAGACCTTTTTTAAACCCTCAGTATTATTTCTACCACAGCAAAATTTTGTACAGAAACCTTCCTAGTTGATTTGCTTTATTAAGTTTGAGATCATGTTCTCCCAGGTACATGGTTGACCAGAGAAGAGCAATCTTCATGTTTAAGGATGGTGCTCAGGCGTGGGACGCAAAGGACTTCCTGGTCGAGCAAGAAGAGTTTAAGGAGTGCTCGATAGAGAACAAGGTCTACCACGGACACTTTACTCCTGAGGTAGGAACATCTTGTGTGAATTGAGTGTTCGTGCGGGTGTTATGTGCATGTGTGCCTTCAATTTTTTTTCTTTCTTTTTTGATCTTGATGAACTGATCAATTTTATGTGTTTGAGTCTAGAGTATGTAATTTTTTTTATTCATTTATGAGTTTATATCTTTATCTGTATAGGTATATATATATATTAGTGTCTATATTCATATCTTTATCCATATATCTTTATTGATATGTATATATTTATATCTATTTATCTCTAGTTATATAGATATTTTTAGTCTTTATTGAAATAAATTACTCAAAGCTTTGTTTCCCAGACAAAAAAAGTGTCACTTATTTGGATCCTAAACCTATGATATGTGCATTTTTATTCCCCAAGAGACTATTTGTCCCTAAAGACAGTAATATCTCCAATACTGAAGATGTGAATCCAATGACCAACAGACACTCATATCTTTGATAACAGTAGAACTGCTTTTTATGTATTTTAATGGCAAAATCCAATTCTGTCTTTGGTTGAAAAAAACATAGATTGAGCAATAACTTGTAAAATTAACTAAAGCCAGAAAACAAGTATCAATTTTAATTCACCTGCTTTTCAAGCCTGCTCTTCTTCCAACTTAACTGTTTTAGAATGGAAATAGTGTGTTCAGATGTACTTAGTCATACAATTGGTAAAACTTCATATGATGTTGATTTTTTGGGGGACGGGGGGAAATCAGCAAAACTCTTAATCCATTGGATCTTGGTCTTCTGCTACTCACAATTGGCCCAAAGACCAGAGAATAAGCCAACTTGATTGGAGACTCTCCTGCATGTGTGTCTTGTGGACTGGTAGCACTTAAACACTCGTGTGGTGTCAAGACTCTTTATCTTTGCTATGCATTATGGTTATCTCTTTCTGCATAAGTGTTTTTTTTACTTTTTTGCCATTTTCCAATGTCTACATTTGTCTTTTGATATGTTGTATTAAGGTGGTATTATTGTGTTTATTCCTTGCACAGATTCCATATCATCTCTTTAGGTTATCTATTACTCTCTGCAGTAACAGTAACAATAAGTGATATTTTAAACACTAGCACAAGCACAGTAATGTGTACAAAGAGGAACAGGAAAACAGCTACAGTAAAAAAAACAACTTAATTGTAACATTTCAAGAGTTCCTCATAAGACAGATGATTAGCCTTCCCTAGACTCTTTGATTTTGACCCCCTTCCTGGAACCTGATTCAGCTCTTGGTCATATTTTCTCTCTACCATTATATAATCTTGTGAAAATTTTCTTATTTTGGCTGTTTTTCTATTCGAGTAACAATTTCTTATATGTCATTTTTTTAATACTTTAGTAATATACATTTTTCTGTAATACACCCTGACCAGCAGGCAGGAATAGAATCCTGAGTTTGGAAATAGTGTCCTTTGTGGAGCCGGCGCTCTCCCAGTCGTGGCTCATGGATGGTACATTCCATACTTGGTTACCGATGGAAATAATGCAGGAGTCCCTTTCTAAATGCCCACTGAGTCTAATCACTGTCTAAGAGCTTTGTGCACTCGCGGCTAATCATTCTTGTCACCCTGCCCTTTAGTCAAAATTTGCACAACGGCATGTTCCTGACATTCTGGTCCTCAGCCAAATTTTTCCATGACAACTTGTTCAGTTCACCTAGCCCTCAAGACATGATGGTCATGTTACCTAGATTCAAGTGATTAACTCCTTAACCCATTGTACATAGATACATTTACTGTCTGCTGTAGTTTTTTGTAAATGATAATCAATTAACCCAATGCCGTCGGGTGATTTTCCAATACGCAAGCCCTCCTCCCTGGGCGGAATTTGTAGTGGCCTGGGCTTAGCCGCCAGGGGCCCATGCCATTACCTTAGGGTGTGTGACCACTCAAGCGCAGTACCAGCATTCCTTGCCTTTTCTTTGTAACACTAAGAAATTATTTTGTATTTTTCGGTATTATTTTCTAAGGTCTATATTTGCTATATATTCCTGTCAATCAAGAATGTATGTCACTTTTTTCATTGTATGTACTCCATAACTGATAATTATTCGCATTTACTCTAAATAAAGTAAGCAGTGTGATGCATCATCATGTTTTAACCATATGCTTTTTATTGAATTTTCTTATGCATTTTTTAGATAATGGTATAAAATGCCCTAGTATTTACACAAGGTCTATATTTTACACAAGGTCTTACTTTGTGAGCAAGATATAGCTTTCAATTTCTCTGCCTAGTGTGGTTTTATAGATTCGTGATCACATATATGTAATACACCTGTAAGTGTATATTGATATTCCTGTAAGGTTATTTTTTGTGTCGTATTTGTTCAATATCATTGGATCAAGTCTTTTAAAGAATCCTTTTTATTTCTTTTTTTCTTTTTTCCCCTCTTTTTTTTTGTTCTTTCTTTCATTCTTTTTAACCCATTCACGCTGGTATATTTTGAAGCCAAAAATAAAAGATTCCGGGCGGCTACAAAATCGGTGGGCGGAGCTTCCCCAGAGTCTGCTGCGCTGGAGTGCGAGCCCCGATACAGTGTCACACTGGCGAGACACCCGGGAATGTTTATTTTTTCGGGTGTCTCATATATGGGACACCCGTCGTTAATGGGTTAGAGTATGGTTCCGGATTTTCTGTTATATCATGATCGTTATTTTCTTTAATATTCATTTCATATTGGTGTATAAAGAAATAAAGTGTGGTATAGGAGGATATAGAAAGAATTTTTTATATTTCGTATTTATCTACGAAAATAAATATATACAGGTGAGGAGGATCACCTAGATGTAGCATTCAGAGTGTGCTATTCCTCAAGCAGGAAGCCTGACAGAGAGGAATATCACACCCTGAACACATCACCTTGGTCGTCCTCACACCGTGACTATAGCAGAGTCAACACCTGTGGTATGGCCCGTGAGACATAGAAATCTGGCAGTGAATATCCTGAAGTTGCGACTGTATGGGTGGAGAGTGGGAGCGGGAGCGGGACTGTGACTGAGACTGTGACCTAACCACTCTACTGCGGCAACTCCTTCGCTGCATGAGATCGTCTGCAAGTTTCTTCCGGAAGATCATCTGAGTCATACGACCTCCTAGTAATTGTGCACTGAGAAGGCATTGACTGCCATGTCAAAAAGGTTGAAGAAAATCTTTTTATACCACTTGGGGGATTTGTCAGTGGAGAGAGATGTTATAGCCAGCTGATCGCCTGTATCGACCCCCTTCATCCCAACATTGTAGTCTACTGTCAAACCCACTGTGGGACTGGGTGGTGACCATCTCACTCCTGTGGACAGTTGACAGCATGGTTACCATACGCTTGTCGTGCCATTGCAGGCACAACATGCCTGTAGGCTTGCTGCGACTTACCAGATCTCTGCAGACTTCTACCTGCAGAATCGTCTGCAAACTAAAATTTCAATTTTGACCGACAAAGAAACCGTAGCGCTAAAACTGTAATAATATATCCAAATGTTAATGGATCGAGCCAAGGTTTATTATTACCTGATCTTATAACAGATTCCCACATCAAATCCAGAGGCCCATGGTCTTTTCCATCTGAAGGGGGATGGGAGGAACTCTGCCCAGAGCTAGGCCCATTAGCCAAGATGGCCATGGGGATGAACATAAGCCAGCAACATACGTCGACCACCTTCCTACCACATTTCCCTTACAACGAGCCAATACCTCCACTGTGGGGACCCCCCAAATGAGGAAGTCATCCCCCAAGACCACCTGGGAAGTTAAGGCCATAACAAAACCTGCAGACTATACATTAACACGCACA